CCTTTCCTTTCACAAAGGATGGTCCAGTGTTTCCTCAGCTAAAGGAGATTATAATGGAAGCATTCCTTTCCTATCATCATGGCTGACACTGAGGTATTTCAGGGTCATTTCCCTTTGTTAGGAACCTTCCTAAACAAAGTACTTTTGAAGTTGTTAGTCTAGCTTTGCATAAAGACTGGAAGCATGGGAGACATGTAAGTAACTCCCTGTCAAGCACTTTTTCTCTCTGTGCATTGGTTTGAAAGTGATCTTGACTAGCTAGCCAGATTCCTTTTCCTTCTAGTCATCAAGCTATGCTAAGTAGCCCTGACTTCTCATGTCACTGTTATGAAGAAGGCAAACTGAACCAAAGAAACTTATAGTTCCAAAAATGTCATAGGTCCTTTGAGAAGTTTGCTGCGGTCCAAAAATGTGTCAAAAGCATTGTTACTGTCATGATCAGTGTTTGCCGATAACATTTGATTGTTTCCATGAACGGCCACGTTAAATGTTGCAGGTTCAAGGCATTGTCCTCTTTCCTATCACAGAGGATGGTCCTGTGTTTCCTCAGCTAAAGGAGATTACAAAGGAAGCATTCCTCTCCTATCATCTAGAGATTTCAAACCGCTCTTATCATGGCTGACGCTTAAGAACTTCCGGGTCATTTCCCTTTGTTAGGAACCTTCCTAAATATATAACACTATTTGACGACAATCCTTGAGTCAGGGTGTTGTTAGCCTAGCTAAGCATAAAGACTGGAATCAGGGGTAACGGTATCTAACTCCCTGTCAAATAGTGTTTATGTTTGTGCATGTGTTAAACTATGCTAAGCTAAGTAGCCCTTACTTCTCATGTCACTGAGATGCAGAAAGCAAGACAAACAAAGTAAGCATAATTCCAAAACTGTTGGTGTAGTCCTTTGAGACTTAGCACCTTCTCCAAGACAGAGTACATAACATTGTACGCTTCATATTTCATGCAGAACTCTGTGCTGCTGCGGTCTGTACGTGTTAGAGTGATCCAAAGGTGACAGTCAGATTTCCTGTCGGTAACGCAGTGTTCCCTGTGTGCAGAGAGAGCCTGATGTCGGAGCTGGAGCAGGAGCAGAGGGAGCAGCAGAGCTCCTCTCGCCTCATCCAGGAGCACGGCAAGCTGCTGGAGGACAACAGCAGCCTGTCTGCCTACTGCCAGACCTTAAGGGGCAAGCTGAGCCTGGTCCAGAGCCAGAACCAGCAGCACAGCTAGGACCCGCCTCCGCTGCCGACCAATGAGAGGACTCACTCCATGAACTGAGCATACAGTAGGGAAGCCCGTTAACGCATCAAAAAAAGGATAACTGGTTACGAAGTGGGTCCAACACTGGCTCAAACAGACTTCCACTTTAGGATTTCTTTTGTTTTAAATCAGTTTCGAAAGTGCACTCCAACTTGAGAACACCAACGTCAAAGGTGTTGTCACTACAATCATTTAGTAACACAGCATCATTTTTTTTAGGTACAATTCTGATTGTTTCTCAAAGCAATCATTTCAGTTTATCTTTAAAAGAAATACCATATTTTAGTTTTTTTAGATCATGACATTTAAACAACATTTTAAAACACTACGTCCATGTCTGGGCCTCCGTACATTTTATGACCATAACAAGTCATATGAAATTTGACATTTCACGTTTGTGTTTGTATTTTGATAATATGTTCAAATAATTTACAATATTTTCAGTTTGACTTTAAAATAAATATGAGCAACTTTTGTTCTTCTTAGATCATGAAATGTAAACAAAAACAAAAGAAGCTACTAAATTCATGTCTGGGCCTCCGTACGTCTTCTGACCATGAAATTGAATGTTCATTTTGATATTACACGATGGTGATGGACTGCTGGGACCAAGGACACCCATATGAACTGAAATGGACCCAAAGGTGTCATGTGGGGGGAGGGGGGGGGGGGGGGGGGGGACTTGCCTTGCCTTATAGCCAGTGAGTGTTATTTTTGGTGTATTTTTTTGAGAAAAGTAACAATTTGTAAATTCTTACTTTTCTATATTCAGTTGATCACACCCGTTGTATTGTGTTTGATGAAAAAAGGAAGGGAATTGTGGGCCGTACCATTTTAAACCAATTTGACTGTGAATACAAGCCTTACCAAAGGCTTTCCGCTCCAGACGCGGTGCCTCGGAGCCAGAGGAGAGCTTTGTTAACGGCTGTTTGAAATGGAAATAAGTGTAGAATAATGAACCTGACACACATTTCTATATCTGTTTAACTTTCTTTTTACACAGTTATATTTCACGGAATTATATTAACATTATTCTGCACTGCACTTATTTGGGTGAAAGAAAGCACGTGTTTGAGTGTCACTTGGTGCTTTCACTGACCGTGGGTTACTATGGGATGGATTGGTCATTTTAATGCATTTCTTCAGACGGTGCCTAAGGATTGTTCCTGTACAGTTCATTTTTTTCATCTCAGTTTATTTTATAAAACATTTGTCCTGTGATTTTTAAAATGTACATACTGCAATATATGCTTTTAGAAAGTAAAAACAAGGTTTGTACGATGTTGTCATTTGTCATCATTTAAAATATGGATTTTACTGCAAGTTAACAATTATTTCTTAAAGCAGATTTTTTTTCTTGTGACCAACAAAATTATTAATTTCCGCTCCAACACATTTTACATGATAGGCTAAGGGGCGGAACATCCCTAGGTGGTTGACCAATCACAACAGAGCCAGCCAGCTAACCAATCAGAGCAGGCTGGGCTCTGGTTTCAGACAGAGGGTGAAAAGAGGTGCTGCAGTCTCAGTATGAGAACAATAAAGAGCTTTTTGAACGTTAAAGCATGGAGACATGTCCCAGTAGAGCAGTGGTTCTCAAAGTGGGGGGCGCGCCCCCCCAGGGGGGCGCAGAGGCATGACAGGGGGCGCGAGAGACCAGGGGGGAAAAATGGTTATTAAAAAAAAAAAAAAAATCATATTTTGAAAAATTATTGATTGAAAATAATATGATACAGTACTATTACGTGTGTGTGTGTGTGGTGTGTGTGTGTGTGGTGTGTGTGTGGGTGTGTGTGTGTGTGTGTGTGTGTGTGTGTGTGTGTGTGTGTGTGTGTGTGGTGTGTGTGTGGTGTGTGTGTGTGTGTGTGGTGTGTGTGTGTGTGTGTGTGTGTGTGGTGTGTGTGTGTGGTGTGTGTGTGTGTGTGTGTGTGTGTGTGTGTGTGTGTTGTGTGTGATTGTGTGTGTGGTGTGTGTGTGTGTGTGTGTGTGTGTGGTGTGGTGTGTGTGTGTGTGTGGTGTGTGTGGTGTGTGTGTGTGTGTGTGGTGTGTGTGGTGTGTGTGTGTGTGTGTGTGTGTGTGTGTGGTGTGTGTGTGTGGTGTGTGTGTGTGTGTGTGTGTGTGTGTGTGGCTAGCGAGCGAGCGAGCGAGCTACGCTAACGGATATAAGGAGTTTTTTTTTTCAACAACAAGGAGGAGGAGAGTCCTCTCCTGTCAGACTGAGAGACTCAGTGAGCTAAAGGACTCTCAGTGTTATCTCAGTGGGTCTCAAACGTTTTGGTCACCATTAATGTAAACAATTATTTCCGAGGCACACGTTTATATGATCATTATAGTTATAAAAAAATAAGAGAATCAATTAAAAACAGGTATGAAATACTATATGACATTACAAAATGAATAAAGTTTAAAAGGGTGATTTGTAAAATATCCATAAAGAAAAAGTAAATCTGTTTACAGTTCTGATTCATATGGGTGTTGAGAGAGGTATCCATAGATCTCTTAATGTTGCTCTCAAAGTGCACCAGATTGATGCTTTCAACTTCAATATTTAAAAATCTTCCCGGGGGAGCTTGCCCCCGGACCCCCCTATGTGAGATCCACACACCACCTATAAAAATAGCACTTGACCCCTGCTTACACCTATATGCCGTGAGCTGATTATCGAGCCTTCATTGTAACTGTCGCACTGTGTATTTGCGTGGGGATTGTTGCAGTAGAACATTCCACTGTAGCGCCCGGTACATTAACGGGAAACCCTAAATGTTTGAGCACCCTCTATGAAACGTCAAGCTACCCCACAGCACCCCCAAAAGAAATCTCTGGCGCCGCCACTGAACTTTTATTTTTCTCTAAAGGGGGGGCCTGACAGAAAATGTTTGAGAACCACTGCAGTAGAGACACTACATACTAAAATGAGCATAATATGTCCTCTTTAAAGATGCTTTATAACCACAGTTTAATTCAATACTTTCTCGATATAATCCACGTGTCTTCCTTCAGAGTCTTTATCCACAGAGGACAGCAGACTGACAGAGCTGCGAACACTAAACTGAGAATAAAGGAACACATTGAATACATTCCATAAGGGGTCTAATGTGCAATCACTGACTGATTAGTAGCATCTCACAGATCATTCTTTCAACATTTTACAGGAAATGATGACACATATTAATGCTGTCATGCTCTTTTTAATGTACATCCTCAAACATATATTTGAAGAAGTACAAGTGGACAAAGGTATGTTGAGAGTATTGCTTTGATTTGTGGGTCAATTGAGAAACAAATGAGGTGAAACAGTTTGTCCCAAAGCCCCTCACCCCTCAGCTAAAGATCACTGATGGAGCTGCAGTCCAGAGCTGCATCCATGTAAATGTGAGGCTTCAGTTGCCATAGTGATGCAGGATTCTTTTATAGATCCATGTACTACCTTCAACAACAGTTGACATGCTCTGTGCTAATTTGGTTTCTCACACACACACACACACAGATTTTGAACCCATCACCCTCTGTTATGATGCAGACAGCAGCTTCCTCTGCCTTCCTGGATCTGGATCACCTTCTAGCTAGAACTTGTTGTTGAATTGAAGGCACTATAGTGGCTGTATGTAGTCCAAAATAATCTGTGAGGTTTAAACAAAGAATAAAAACGATTCACACCTTTATGACCATTTATTCTTAAAAAAAAGAAAAGACAAAAATACAAACCGTACCAGTTACCTCAATATTAAGTTCTTTATATGATTGCAACTACGGCCAATGGAAATAGATCACTCCCTGGCTCGCCCTCTCTCTCTCAAAATGGCTCTACTCGCAGTATTATATTATTATGGGTTTTATATACAGTTGTTATTGCTAACAAATACACATGAGCATTTTTCATAGTTTGTCTATGTGGAGCCGATTTGAGTGACTTAAATCAAGGTGGATTAGTAGTTGCCTAAAGTATTGCATCATATCAGATATGCCTTATGTTTGTTCTTTATGTAAAAAGTAGTTGAGTGTTAGATAACTAGCAGAGTGAAAACTATCAAATGTGCCTCTGAATTGTAGTGGTATAAAGTAGCATTTAATCAGAATCAAGTTTATTGACGTACCTGGCAATACACTTCATTCTCATTCTGATATAATTAAGTAAAGTACAATTATTTCCAAATATGACTTCAATAAGGTACTAAATGTACTAGTTACATTCCTTCATTGACTATCATAGAGCAGTGTACACAGCATTATACAGTGTTATGTAAACTCATATTTTGTGAATGCAAACACACATGTTTCTGTAGGGACATTTCTGTATGATCCTCCGAGGTGTATGTTTGCCTTTTCTTTGTCATTGCTCCCTCTCAGACTACCCATGGATCCATGGCTGAGAACATCACGTCCCCCGCTGAGCCGACCTGAGCTGCCAGAGGAGCTGTACAAATCAGTTCTGGCTATTTATAACATCTTGACATTGAGAATGTGGGCTGATCTGGATCCAGCCGCTCAGAATGAGGCCCAAGAGGTGGCTGTCTGTGGCAAACTGATAACATGTAGCAGCTCTGCCAGCTCCCTCCGGATTACACTCCGTATTAGAAACCGTATCGTACCTTCTGTCCCGTTGGGATTGGACACAGCACACATCAAACCTTCGAATACATTAGATTTCCATTCACAGGAATTACTTGACTTGATCACATTAATGTTTCTCTGTTTAACAGTGTGATTTCATATGATGTAAATGCCTTGTGAGTTCAGTAACTATCCCAATATGGACAACATTTATTTTTTCTTATTGCTATTGAACAGCTCAACATTGGATTTTTGGGGTGGTCAATGCAGGGGCTCAGTCCCTGCTGAGGGGGTCCAGGTTCAAATCCGTCCTGAAGTCCCTTTAATCATCCCGTCTGTCTCTCCCTTTCAAATCTATCTCTCCAATACCGTGGTGATGGAAGGAGTCCTCCTGACACCCGGATATCGGTTAGCCTGGAAGAAAGTATGTGGTTAATATCATTTTAAGAGATTTTCCAATTTTGTGAACGTCCAAAGCGCTCACATGTCATAAAAATGGCGAACGTTAGCTCACTTAGCTTGTGGTGGTTGCACGCCGCCATGCAGGGTGATGTAGTTCCTTTGTAGGCTAACGTTAGGCTAACAAAAGGAACGTATCATTAGCTTTTTACTTCTGAACAACAAATAACAAAACATGTAAGTATCATAAACGTGTTTATGCCACAGAGATTATTTTCTCCAATATTTGGAAATCCAATAAAAAAATCCCATTGGCTCTTTGTTTGTCAATTTACAAAAATACGTCATCACTGCACAGCTATAAGGCTAAGACTGGCCCATTAGACATATTTTAACATGATCAGTTGGGTCTTGACATCAGTTAGTTTAGCAGCCCTTTATCATTTGGAGACGTCAGAAAGTGTCTTTAAGAGTTGAACATGCCTTCTGTTAGTTTGTGTCTTTATGAATGAGAGCCAGATGACAAAAAGGTCTATTCATGTTTAGTTTCATGCTACATTTTTCAAATGATCATGTGCAACCCAACCAGGGGGATAACATGTGTAAGAGTAAAGCAGTATGGAGTCAGGGCAGGGGGCTTTATCACCATAGAGCAGGGGGGCTACAGAGACGCAGAGTAGGGGGCTCCATCATAGTAGAGCAGGGGGCTAAATCACCATAAAACACAGGGCTACATCACCGTAAAGCAGAAGACTGCATCACCGTATAACGGGAGGGGGGCACATCACCGTAGAGCAGGGGGGCTCGGCCGTTGTTGTGAATGAGGGCCAGCATGACGTCAGCAAGACAATGTCAACAATGCAGCTCCTAGAGGAGGAAAGGCGTTTCATCCTCACACACTCACACGAGACCCTTCTACACACCGACTGATGCCTACGGTGCTTTAAATTCAGCGTTTTGGGCTGTCGGAGGGCTGCGGGGACACAACAATGTGGACTTATTTCTGAGGAGCTGAACGCAGACGAGCAGGGAAAACGGGTAAGTCGCTGCCAACATAATAAGCAACCATTGAGCTTTACTATGGCTGAGTGGAGCAGACTACGGGAGCCCCTTGTCAGCCTCGGATTTGCTACTACTAATCTGTCTGCTCGCGCTGGCGTCCCTCTCTTGTTTGTGTTGTAGTAACGCTGTTGTTTAGCGCTCGGTTTAAGCACGGTGTTTGTTGTTGCAGTGAGTACCTGACACCTCGGTGCTTTTCCCGCAGGTTAGCAGGGATGCTGCGGGTGTAAGCTAGGTGCCTGAGTGTGTTTCCCACAGAAACGTGTTCCTCCTCGCCTCGGTGTTACGTCGGGAAAGTAGAGCCCGAACAAAGTGCTTTGTGTCTTTGGAGGGGTTTCGCATGGCCGTTAGCTGCCCACCACGTTTGAAATGCATTACCAGTCGTATAGCTCAGTTGGTAGAGCATATCCCCGGGTTTGAATCCGTCCTGATGACCGGGGTACGAATCCCGCCCGGGACCAGTTATCGTGTGTCGTCACCTCTGCCTCCCCCTTTCTTCACTGTCACTTAACTAAAGGCACCGTATTATCATTAAAAAACAACAACAATATTTCTCGCTGTTTCTCAGAAAGAATATTGATAGTATCCGCTGTTATTGTGCCTTGTGACAGAGAGCAGCCGTGTGTGTCATTATGACAGACCTGTTTGTTCTAGAAAGAACTTGCCGGTCTTTATAAACGTCCCTTTGTCCTTCTTAAACTATCCACATTGCACTTCTGAAATAAATCCCAATACATTGAACATAAACAGGGGCACATGTTTTGCACGGGAGAGCCCCAGCAGGGGTTCGCGCTGCTGTCATGCTGGGGGAGGAAGGGGCTGCAGAGGGACAAAGGACCCAGCCTCCCACCCCCTTATTCCCGCCCTCTGCCGCTGAACGGCCGCTTTAGTAAACAGCCTCCACGGGATAAAGCTTGGGATAAACAGGAATTCCTGTATGGAATATATTTGAATATGTCTACAATGAGAATCGATCGTTTAGTCTCAAAACCGGCAGTAGGCCTACCTTTGCCCTTCACCTAGAGAAAAATTCGCAACCTTAAATGTATAAGAAATGAATAACAGAGGTCTTGTTTTCATTGTAGGCTATAGGCCTATGTATTAGGCCTACTTATAAACATGTTGGTATTCAATGAACACTCAACCGTTGACTCAGTTAAGATGATATATGGAGTCAGTGCCGTAGTAAACATGCCGGTAGTGAACAGATTAGCTCTTTGTCATCCTTCCTTCAAAGCTCTCTGCCTCTTCCATCCTCCGCCTCTGTGCTACCGGGGAACAGCAGCATCACTGTATAAGCACTGGGGTGTTTTGGGGGGTTACATACAGTTCAGCTGCTGAATGGAGCAGATGAGAGGTGACTGAGGCCAATGAAATATGTACTACTCCACTTCCACTCAGTTATGTTGAGCAGAGAGTGATATCTCTCTCCTGCTCTGATGTAGATTGCCTGCTGATTAGCCCAGTTATAATCCTAGCATGGAGATCCTTCACTGTAAATACAGGAGTATTAAAGGGACACTCAGCAATATCACTCATAGTGCCCAGTTTACTCCAACAGTGTAATGTAACGTAATGTAATGTAATGTGGAGCTTCGGCAAGTAAATAAATAATTATTATAACACAAAATACGTCATCAGTGTTATCCAAGCTTCCGACCGCAAATTCATAACAGAGAATGCACAACCGGGGGTGAGACATTCACATTGCTGGGACAAAAACACAAATGATGTTATTGTGGTGCATTATGGGAGGCATATGTGACACAGCATTTTGGAACCATACAAAGGACTAATTTATTTGTCTTGTCTTAAGCCATTGCTTCTGCTGCAAAATAGAACACCTCAACAGTACTCTTGATACTGCCACTGGATGACACCAAAGTAAGAACAAATACATAACATAATTCACATAATGGTTTTAATTTGATAAATCATCATGCATTATGAATAATGACATTGACATTACACACATTATGACATATTGTGTGTGTTTGGATGTGGATTTAGCATGATTGCCCAAAGTTTTCCCTTTAAGGTGCAAGACTGAAATTTAAAGATGCAAGTTGGAGTTCTGAGTCGCCTGCTCCGAAGGCTCTGCACCTGAAATAGGAGGCAGTATTTCACCTCTGGATCAATACAATTTCAATTTAGAGTCATTTTTTATTTAAAAAATCATAAGTTAACCATTGTTTTTATTTAAAGGTGGAGTAGTTTGGCATATTGTTGATTAAAATGGTACAGTGTTGACGTATTTTGGCCGGACGACGAAGTTAGAATCGCAACGACTCCCTCAACAAAAAGCTATGGGATTTTTCCATTGAATTTTGGAATATGACAGAAAATAAGATATTTGGCAAACACATTTATGATACTTACAAGAAGTCAAAATGTTGGGCTATATAAAAACTACATCACGGTCACATGACTTCACTTCACAACTGCTAAGCTAAAGGTGGCTAATGTTTGGTGTGATGATGTTTCTCCCTTGAAAAAGAGATCTATGATCTCAAGAGACAATCTGGATAAATGTAGTGGCCTCATTAGGTCACTCGTATCAACAATTTTTATGACAGTTTGAAGCGTTGCTAATTCATGGTTATTAACTATATTTTATGTAGAGAAAACAACAACATCTCTTTCCACAGACCAGACCAGACAGCTGAACAAATAAGTTGAAGAAAAACATTGCATTCGAACGGAACCATAAGTGAAAAAATGCTGATAAATGTTTCGTTTTTTAGGAGTCAATCCTGCAACACTCAATTCTAATGAATTCTTTACATTGTGCATTGCATTGTATTCTAATCTGCAGGATGTTATATTTAAACCAAATTCAAACTTTCTGTGACCTATACATTTGGCAATCAGCTGATATACATTTTTAAGAGCTGTTCCTGTTCAGAGTCACCCCAATCCTTAGAAATGATACCTTAAGTGGAATTTGTGGCCACGTGGTTGAAGGTGACAGACTGTGGCTCATTAAAGGATTAGAACACACCCAAACACACTGAGTCACCTGTCTGCTGCTCGATACTGGGGCTGGCTCAACCCCTATGGTTATAACTCAATTAGAATCGAGGGGAAACATTGTGTTAACAGTCAAATATATGTTTAACTTTGTATAACGTGTTTTTTTTAATAGACACATTAGTTACATTCAAAATACGAGGGTACAAAAATGTACAAAGGAATACTAACATTAATTGATAGTGACATTTTAAAGTCGCTGGATCATATGCATAATATTATCATATGGGAATTATTGATATCAATAATGCATTTCAATGTCAAGGTTATTGCAAAACCCCCACCTTGATACCATCACTGGATGCTGGACTTGCTGAGTGACAGCACATTAGTATTGTCCAATATGGCTTATGTTTATTGATTCATCAATATTTTTTCAGTATATAGCACAAGGTGTCAGAAAGTACGGACAAATGTCAATCAATGTTTACCATAGCTCTGAGTGACGTCTTACGGTCCAAAACTGAAAATATTCAGTTAACTGATATAAAACAGATCAAAACGCACATTATCACTTTTTTTGATAAAGCATTACACTGTGGGTTGATTATCCATGGTTGATCATCAATGTACTGGTATCCTAATTGATTACTTAAGTGATCATTTGAGTACTAGCTAGACTTAAGATTCAGATGTAACTAGCAGTAGTCATAAATAAAAATAAAAATGTGTGGAGCCATACTTCAGGGGCCTGTACTACGAAGCTGGTTCAACCTAACCTGGATATGTTTGAGTTAGCCGGTTGGCCTAATCCAAAACATACGCGCTCTCGCTAAACGGTACGACGACGCGGGTTATCAAGTGGATCGCTCAAGCTAGCCGTGTCCTATCTAGTTAGGTGCGCGTTCACATGAAAGGGGTGGTATTTGGAGCATTCGACCAATCACAAACATGGAGAAGCGCACTGACAGCGCAGCGTCATACTTCCTGAATGAAAAGTCAACTATAATATTAGTCAAATATGAAGAAGTTAAACTTTAAACATCCATGACTTAAACACTTTATCCAGGATCAAAGCCACAGAGCTGCACCTGCAAGGTGAATACAGCTGGTAACAGAACAAGTGTTTGAATGCGTACATTAACAGGTTTATGATATCACTGCCCCGTCCAAAACACGATCTGACTTTAATTACATTTGACTCGAGTGTTTCGTCAACTTAATGTGTTGCTTAAAATAATCCTTCTGCATACAGTAGGCCTATAGGCCTATGTGACACTGTGAGTGTTGCACGGCCAGATACGGCTCAGCTGACTCAGATAAGGAAATATATGATACATTATGAAGTGATATGCCTCGGACTGCACTTAATGTTACTCTGATCCGGTTACTTATGTTGTGGCAGATATTTCAGTAAGCTTTCTTAACGCTAATGTTATAATAGTCAGATTGCTCTGAAGATGGAGGTGATATTCTATTAATGTTCACGTTCACACAGTCAGTGATTTTTGCCGGCCGTCTTTCCTGCGACGGCAGCTTTTCTGTATTTCCTTTCTCCTGTAATATGACTTGATCGCTTTAAACTCCGCACACTGAGCTCTGATTGGTCAGCAGGCAGTGCTTTCACTGAGTTGAGCTCTTAGCCTGCAACCTAACCTGCTCCCGACCAGGTTAGCCGCTAAGCATAAGTTACCATGGAGATCTAGCCTGCTAAAAAGAGAACCAGCTTCGTAGGACCGGAAAGCCGGAGTTTTCCCTGAATTTAGCGAAAATCCTGCTTCGTAGTATACCCCCCAGGTGAAGCACCATGTTGATACAGCTGTGTTAAAATGTCCGCATGACGTTGAATCAAGTACTTTTTTGGGTTATTCATTCTAACTTAGGTTAAAACAACCTGATCTTTTAAAAAATGGTCTTTACATTTTACCCCTAGCAAACATGCCACACATTCTAAGAAATCAGCTTTAGGATTCCACATTTCCACAGGGAGTCACGAAGGATTCAGGACTTTGAACCACTTAGCCGTGGTGATATGAAGTCAGTTGTGGCCTAAAGTTAACTTTTGAATTCTGACCAATATATTTACTCACAATTGTGGTGGTGTCAATATGTGGAGATTATCCTGCTGAACAAAACATGTAATTATCCAAAAGTTTCTTTAACACAGAGCTTTTTTGTTGTTGTTGTTGTTGCAATATTCCAAAATCCAATGAAAACATCCCATGTGCCAACCACTGTTTAAAGTTACATGAATCTGTCTGAAAGTGTTGGTTACATTTACAGTCATTTGAAATTGTGAATCAGCCATACCTCGCTACAGATGTTAAATAGTAAGCTAAATAGACGTAGGCGTCCAAAATGAAATTGTATGCAACGTGTGAAGCAGAAATCCTGCAGCTCTACCCGCTGTGACGGACCGGTGAGCGGAGCGAAACACACACTAACCCCCAGTTTCCACCGGGTCCGTCTGCGCCGCACTGCGCTGCGTTACGGCTGCGCCGCGGCGGTCTTAAGGATCGCGGCCACTCTAGTCAATGGGTCCTATTCCACCACACGCGCCGCGTTACGGCTCAGACGCGTCCCAGAAACGTCCCAGAAGCGGCTCGGCGCAGCGCTTCTCTAAAATTAGGATGAATCCTATTTTTGCCGCGGCGCAGCCGTAAGGTCGGGCAGGCAGCCCCCCCTCGCAGGAAGTGGAAAGGTGAGCATCCGGGCCAGGCCCATCCCCCACATATACTAATTTAGCAGACCCCCCTCCTTCATCAC